CTTTCATTTGGCCGTTTTTCACCGTTTCCTGCCACCATCACTCTTTCTCCGAGCGCTGTGCTGTTTTTTTTTTTTTTGCGTTCTGACTGTGCACGCACGTCATAAACGGCTTATCAAAGCAACAATAAACCGCCCACGCAGGCCCTCCCATTACAGCCCATTAGCAGCCATTTGCATTGTTGGGATTCTCGCCGAGCGATGGATCGGCGTGCGCTATTGTCGCAAAAACACGGTCGGCGAAGATGAACCCGAGGGGCTCGCGTACCGGGGACGCGGACAGGACCTGAATTTGCGATCAAAACGAGCCTCGATAAATGCACATCCATTATAATTCCACCGATTCTTGTTCCTGTAAAGCCGTATTTATGAGGCCATCTGCAGCAACCCGTGCGTTTGTTTCATCAAGCTGCAGCAGATAGAAAGGATTCACTTGTGCTTTTTTTACTTTATAATAGGCAGGGTGCTTTCAATACGCCATTGAAACTACGCCAAGTCCTTTGCTTACTCAGAAAGCTTTTCATGCAAGCCTTTTTACACACGAGTAAACACATGAAAGCAGCACCGCTCACGTCATGTGTCATTTGTTCAGGGTGTTTTGTTTTTTAACCAAGCATTGCCATTCAAAGCCTCAGACATGAAGGATTGCTTCACCTTTTCCATCTTGATTCAATACACGCAAATCTGTGTGCACACCGTCAGACTGAAGGGTTCCTGTTTACACGCTGTTTATTCACATCAACTATTGCGCTTTCAGAATGATCGACTTTTCAGAGCTCTATGTGTTTTATTCTCACATTTGAGCTCAGAAATGATCAAGTAAATATACAGTTATAGTACATAATAAATGTAGTTAATAGTAATGTAACGATGTAACATCATGGTTACAGGAATCCGTCCTGTAGCCATAAAGATACGCTGTTCTACTGGCGAAGATGTTTAAAATCACTTAAAATATAAGCAGCTGATATTGCAGTGACATAGTCTCAAAGTTAAGATCTTTGAAAGATCCACTTTTAATTGTATATTTATTCAGTGACAAAAAAAATACAACATAGACACTGAAGCCAATAGTGGACGTTTCCTTCATATACTTTTTCCCCTGATGGTTTTCTCAAGATAAGTTAATCTTGCATGCAGTTTTTCCTCAAGATTAATTTATCTCGAGAAAACTTTTGGGAAAAAGAATATGCAAAAATACCCACGAAATTACATGGATATCTTGACAGAGAAAAAAAAATCGTAAAATTAACTTGTTACCTCAAGAAAAAAAATCAAGAGAGAAACTCAAATCAATGAAACAATCAGGACATTAACTCGTTATCTTGAGAAAAAAAACAGAAAAATGTATATGCGGAAAACAGAAAATTAACTAACCTCAAGAAAACAATCGTGACATTAACTTATCTCGAGAAAAAAAAAATGGTGCATTAACTCTTGCGAAAACTATTGGGAAAGGATCTCATCATCTCAAGAACTCCAACGGTGTGCATAAAATGTCCGCTCTCAGCTTCCATACATAAAAACAACAATTCCTTACAAAATGTTGTCTGTTGCATGACTGGGGAACAAAATGCATTTATTCAACAGAGCAATAGAAACACTCCCCATGTAGTTTAAAATGGAAATCGAATTGGAAACAATGTGGTGCACATGTCAGGCCTGTAGGGGGCAGTCAAACTTTGATGGCACAGCCCAGATGTGCAGCAGGTGTTTATATATGTTCCCTAAACATACATCGCATGAAAATGCCTAATGCTAGCATTTTCAATTTACAGTTAAATTTTAAAGCATTTCTCAATTTTTAATGTTTTTGGCCAAAGTTACTTAAAGCCACAGTGGAGGGTCGTCTATGGCAACCAACACATCTACCACAGCTGTGTTGGCTTCATTGCCTATTGGTGGTGCTGCTCATTGGAACCACTTGGTATAAATCTATGTCCTGATGGAACATCAGCCATTATTGGCCATTATTTATTATCCTTACAGACTTTGAGCAAGGAGGCACCTTGATCGCACACTTCTACACTGTTGGCATAATTTGGGGCGAATATCTGACCACTCCTTAATCTCAATATTAACATTGAAACTGATTGTCTTCCTGCCCTGGTTTAGGTTTTTGGAAGGCTAAATCCAAAGCACTTCCAGTAGTGGTGAAACAGCAAAATAGGCCAACTCAACCTTTTCTCCACTATAGATTTAGCTTATCGATGTGGGCAGCTGAAACTCTGAGTCGAGTGCTGCTTTTGGGAGGGTTTTCTCTTGGTACTCTAGATGTTACACCAATACAAAACTATAAACCAATTCATGGTAAGTCTAACCTTGTTGGTCCCTGAACATCTTAATAAATGTAATTTTCATCTTTCATAACTTAAATTTGAATTATGGGGTGCTGGTGACTCATTGACACTTTGACCTCATGTACAATTGTTTGAACTGATGATTTTGAAGGTGTTTAAAAACGTTTCCAAAGGATTTATCTGTTCTTCTGAGGTCTTCAAAAACTTCCTTGTTGTTCCGACTGTTGGCCGATCCGGTGAGCCATGTCAACAGAAATTTTTATGGTGGCAAAGACAAAATTACAAGCTGCATTGGAAATGGATCACTTGTGAGTAGCTGACGATGTTGGTGTTTTTAAGTTAAGTTACACTCGTGACCAGGAGCGGATCACATCAAGATCATAAATCAAAGGTCAGACTGTGGCAGAATGTGTTGATAAAACTTCTTATTAATGAACTTAGAATAGAAACGAATCTCCGGGTTTGACGAATACTTCTTCAAGTTAAATGATATTGAAGATCTTTTGTCGTTAATGGAATTTCTCAGTATGCAGATAAAATCTTTTTCCATTTGATTGATAAAATATTTATGCACACAGCTTGGACCTTGTGGAGGTTTTATTTATGTGGCCTTCTAGAACAGGATTGTCCAAAGTGTGGTCTGGGAGCCATTTGTGGCCCTTGAAAGGATTTTGTTTGGCCCCAGACAACAAATCAAGAATGGTTAAAAACAACAAAAAAAATCCAGAAAACAATCCATGACTCCCCAAAACTGTGGAAATTGCTTTTCTTTTAATAGCAACAGTCTGAAGCCTATTTTTATTTTTTTGGATCTTTCACAATAAACAAATTTAATATCATGAAATGGTTTATTGTCGAGCAGGTAAAACTATAACTATTTGCCTTTTTACTTTCATTAATTTTATGGTTTAATTTTGGACACGCTTCAGTCCAGAGGCTCAGATAAAATGATTTTTTATCTGTTTATATTTAGGTTTAATATGCAATGAGATCATTTTTCATTTGAAACACTTTTTCAAACTTGTGTGAAAAAAAATAATAAAATCCACAACATCCGATTGTTTTGAACAAACCAGGAGAGTTTTCTAATTACACCATCGTTGCTACTTCCATTAAAAACCCCAGAGTCAATCGTGCATCTGATTGGTTGGATGTTAAATCTGATGAATGGCTTTTATATGCTTCCTCATTCCCAGGTCGCCGGCACACAGAGGACAATCCTGCATCTCCTCCCATGTCTTGTGCTCCTCAGCTTCAGTGTTCTTCGTGTGGGTAAGAACACACACATCAGACTCAAACACACACCATGTCATTGCAAACCAGTGGATGTGGAGGGAGGTTTTGTGCTGTATATGATTTGTTAGTGTGTGACCTTCAGAGCTGTAAATGCAGGTAGGGATGCAGAGTGTCTTCTGGAGGCATTATGTGAAGCTTTGCTCTCCAGGTGTGTGTGTGTGCGTGTGTGTGTGTTGGCTGTGGAGAAGACAGTGCTGTCCCGCTAATAAGGAGCCAGTCTGACAGCAGTCTTGATGACACTCTGACAGACAACAAGCCAGCTTTGTGCTGACTTACTGGAATATTTCTGGCTTCTCTTGCTCAGTGCCAACTCCAGGGACACACAGAGGCAACGGTGAATCCGTTTAGATTCTGCACATTCGGAGATTTCTCTCCTGCTCCTCAAATGAATAGTCGCACAAAGAACACCACGAGTCATTCTGCGAGTTTAATTTGAAATATTTTCTCTTTATTGGAATCGTCAGGGTCAGACATATTTCAGTGATAGGATGCAGTGCAATGAAAACATCTTCTGTTTATGCTGCTTTTTTTTTAATGCACTTAAATGTTTCAGGTAAGAAAAACAGATTTGATTATCAGACCAAAACAACCCGAGTAAAAACAAAGTGCAGTTTTCAGATGATGATTTCGTCTGTTAAGGGAAAACGGTTATGGAAAATAATTACCCCATAATACTTATCATAACTGGCAATCAGTATTTTAAATTGAGGTGTTGGGTTAAAGAACAAACAGCATGAGACTTTGACTAGTCCAATCCAAACCCTTCGTTTTCTCTGGTTTTATTTTTTAGCCATTTACGGCTGGACGTCCTGATGGGCTTCCTGTGACCATCACATGTCTGACTGCAGGCATTGTGTGGTTTTTCTGAAATGCCATGATAGATCGCTGTAAGCTAGGCGAAGGACACGCATTGAAAAAGATGTGACTCTTGTCTCATCAGGCCACAGAATATTTGAGAAGCATTTGTCTTCCAGTTAGTCAAAGTTTGTTGTTGCTGGAACCCTTAACCACTCAGCTCAGTTTGTCGAGGTCTAGACAGATTTTTCTTTCCGGGTTTGTGGAACTGCCGCCTTCGACGGCTCCTTCAGACTAGCAGCAGCAGCAGTTAGCAAACACCTGGTGGAGCTGCACATCTACTAAGCTTATTACAAGTTACTTCTCAGTGCAACACTTTTAAAAATGTTGTTAAAGGGTTAATATAGGAGCCATGTTGTGATGACTTCCTGAAGGTGGAGGATCAGAACGAGTAGGGGCTTCTTAAAGAGACACAGGCCCAATTTTAAAGTGTTCAACTGCGAAGTCAAATTTCTTTTAAGTCATATTTGATATATGCAGCATTTTTATAACAACTAAAGGTAACATAGTTGCTTTGCCATTATATGCCTGGAAAACGCATAACACTGCCACTTTAACATTTGTTGGACAATCTGAAACACTTAAATGTCACAAAACAACAAAAGCAGAATAAATCTTAACAGGGCCAAATACTTTTTGGCAGCACAGAAGATAGATTCTTACCTTATGGAGCAAAGGTGACCTTCATGTCACAGAAGCTTATATTGCTAGCCAGAAACCCAGCAGACAATGTAGCTGTAGAATTGAACCACACAGGAATCTACATTGTATGCCAGGTTCAGGACAAAGCAAATATCTCCCTAGTGTGGCTTCTTGGGCATCCGCCAACACCATTTTTATGAAATGTGCCCATTTGTAGCTTAATCAAAGTAGACGGAATTCAATCAGAAGTCAGAAACTCAGAGATGCCAAATGACATTGACAAAACAGGAAGAAGAACAAATGTGATGATGGGCCCTGGTGGAGTTGTGACACCGACAGCATCCCGTCACTGAACGGGCCCCCCAAAATCACAGCCGGTGGTGGAGTGGGAACGCGCCACGGGCCGACAGAGGAAGAACTTTGGACCGGGAAGTGGGCGGAGCCGTCAGAGACCCAGTAGCCAGATGTAGCTGCTGATTGCTACACAGGATCTACACTGCCTACTGAGCAGCTGACAGTCACCAGAGAGCCGAGAAGCAGCAGACGGGAGTCGGCACACTTCTGCGGACGCCATCTGAGGACAGAGCGAACACTTCCGTTATTAACTCCCACCCAAAAAAACAAAAAAAACAAAAAAGAAAAACTATCAAAATATTCTGGGCAACAAAGATGAGAGTCATTGATGAAGAGGCGGGGGTTGCAGGGTGGGAGAAGGGGACAAGCAGATCAAGCAGAAAGAAGAAGAGCAGCCTGAGGGAGGGGAAGGATATGGGAGATTATCTGCTGACGAACATCTCCAAGCTTGGCATTATCAGTGGCAGATTCCTGTCATTCTTTCCCATTAGCCCTGAGGCACGGCAGGCGGAGGCCGCACCGTGTCGGCTCCAGCCCCGGCCCTGACACGTAACGGGAACACCAACTCCGTCCCTATAACACTGACCCTCTGCACACGACGTCACGCCACGGCTTGCTCATATGGACTTAAAGCTTTATCATGACGCTTTGTGGTAAAATTGTGTTAACAATAAAAGTGACCGTAAGAACCGTATAGCTGCTCTTGAAAAACATACCTATTTGTAAAACGCTTCTGAAGGACACCAGTCATGTATGTAGAAAATGTACTGGTTATGATAACAAAGGGGGTTTCAAACATCATTAATCGTAATTTATTGTGACAACGACAAATCAAAATCTTATCAAGACATGAAATTTATCCCGATAAACGATAAACGATACGATAAACCCACTCTTCAGAACTTCGCCGGCTAGGATGCTATGTGGTCTGCTGCAAACAGATAATGATGCAAACCAAACTTGTCATTTTGTTGCATAACTTTTAATGAGGAAAGAAGTCATGATGGACGGGCAGCTGCTGTCAATCCAATGGACTAGCAGCCCATGGCATATTTGTGGACTTGCAGTCGACGCTTTATACCAGGTAAGAAGATTAACGTTCATGTACTTCATAAGTAAGACTAGCAAGATACAATCAAATATTGCACTATGGAGAATGTAGGAGTCGAATCATTAGTAATCACATAGAAAATGTCCCAGCATTATGCAGCCTAGCATGTTCTGGTGTAAAAGGAAACGCAGTTTATGACATAGTGATATGGGTCAGTTTCTAAGCCAGCTATTTCCAACTGTTGTGAGCCACTTCCACAAAAGATTAGCTAAACAAGTACAAGCCATGGCTATACTGGCAGAAACCACTTGGGTAGACGGCGTCCGTCATGGCGCCTCAACGTGTTTAAGTGACGTTGCTGCAAAGAGTCAATCGGTGTCGCAAAGGGAGCGGAGACTGAGGAGGCATCCTGGCCGTCTCAGCCTCTCTGCATACCTGAAGCCCCATGACCCCACCAATCAAACAATCCTCCACCAGCTGATGGTCACTTGACTCCAATTTCTTTTAATTAACAGAACTGTGCTGCCTTCCCTTCGCCTTTCCCCCACGGCCCACATTCCAGCCTCTCCCGTCACCATTCACGCCGCGTCTCTCCACGTTTCTACGCCGGCAGCAGAGATGTCTCACGCTCAGGTTTGAGGTTGCATCATTTGTCTTTCCCCAGCAATTGACATATCTGTGATAAAATGCGAGTTCACCCACTGAGGCTTTGTACCGAGGGATTTGAAGAGGTGTAAAAGGATGTGGCCTGGGGCTCTGTTCTTTGCTGGAGGGAACGCAGTTTTTCTTTAGAAAAAAAAAAAGATGGTGGGAAGGGAAGTGTGGGGGAAGAAAGTGGTGAAGTAAAAAAAAAAAAAAAAAGGTTACCTTTCTTGGAAACTGCTGTGGGTCACATGGATGTTCGGTTATATTTTCGGAAAAGTCGTTGCAGAAGTGGCCTCCCTGTAAAACAGAAAAGAAAGACTTTAGACTCCACTCAGACATGAGGTTACAGTACATACACTGTAAAAGAACAAACCCATAAAGACAGCTGCATTCAGGTTTGAAGTAGCAGCTCCAAACCAGTGAGCATGTGTAAGTTCCCAGGACTGCAGATAAGGTCATATAGTCTTATCTACGTCTTTTTTCCACTCTTTGGTGATGCTGCAGCCGCCACAAAGCAGAGAGGTCCACAGTGCAAACCAGAGGTGGACCACCAGAACATCCAGGAGGCAAAACGGTCCTCAATGCTGAGGCCATCAACACTCCACAGAAATTTAGCAGTATTCCGGGCTAAACTAATTGTCTTTGTTTTTTATTGTAAAGCTTTTACAAATCATAAAGTGTTTAATAGATCAGTTTAGAACAGACCAGTCAAAATATGTAACATTATACATCTCAAAAGGCGTTTATGCAGGTTTTACATATTGTGATATTCTATATTTTGAAGTTGGCATATTTAAATGTTGTCCAGTGTGAATGGTACAAGTTCTAGGCGCTGTTGTGTCAATGTTTGAGACTCTTATTTTGAAGCCAAAACGGAAGTAGCTCCTGGGTTAACCCTGCTGTACATGACTGATGAAATGTTTTTATCACACTTGCTGACAAGACTATTACTAAAGCACTGAAGGAGATTCTTCATAAAACTAAAAAATTACAGAAAACCGGCGTCAGCAGCGTCTTCTTCATCAGACTGCTGTACAACAGGAGCATTTCCAGAACAACTACAGGAAGTCCGGCCTGCCCACTGGCATCAACTTCTCTGACAACGCTTTGAAGGAAATGCGTATTTTTGAATCCGATTGAGAGGCATTCACTGCTTTTAAATCCAACTTCAGGCAGCATGTCTGGTACTTATGAAAAAAAGAAATCGACTTCACCCAAATACTTTGTAAGCATTTTGAAATGAACGCAGTTCGTCTTAGCTGTTAGCTGCTAAAGCTCCTGATATGAAGCCGTTGCTGTTAGCCATGCATGAAACCAGCAATAGAAGGACTGGTGTGACTGAGATGAGGACGGTCACAAGATTCCTTCAAAGGTTTGCAATTTGTGCCCTTTTATTTTTACTTTCCTCAAAAATATTGCAAACATATTGCCTTATCGTCTTGTATCGTCTAAAATCCTAAGTTCTATCTCTAGCGTACGCCAATCAGATTTTTTATTTTTTTTTTTTTTACCCTCTACTGAAGCATTTTATTTGCAGGACAAAGCTTGAGCTGGAGACATAACAGGAAAACTGGAAGCACAA